TCAATATCTAGTGAGTCACTACTGTATCACCTACTACAAATATAGTCTCAACATTTCAGAAATGAACTGAATGATTAGCCTGATGGTGACTGGTGGCAACCCCAGAGAAAAGCTAATATTAGCCTCAAAATGATCAGAAAAGTTGAGTACAAAACTGCTCTTTACTCAATAGAGAAAGCTTTCTGTTGACCATCAATTACTTTTATAAAGAATAAATATATAATCAACTCTCTCTAGGCAAAGAAGGTTTATTTGTTTGTGAAGCAAAACCGGCTTTCTTGAATGGTTGTACTGTAAACAAGAGCCCTTTTTAAGTACATGCTTAAGAGTCTGGTGAACCTGCCAAAGGGTGGGTCGCCTTGGCTGGAGTAATGATGCAGACTGGCTCCTCCACAGGAAAATTAGGGATTTGCAATAAACCACCAAAGACCCTGAAAGCATTTGTCTGAGTGACCTACATACTTGCTGGAGTGACGTTCTGGATGGAGACAGAGTTTTTTCTTTGCTCTCATTCTCACCTCACTCTCCCTACCCTGTAGAGATAACATTGCTCTGAATATCAGAGGTCTTTGAGTTAGACTTATTTATATCTTTCATCCCATAAGATTTTTAGAAAGTTGCTCACCTCTCAGGATTTCAGGGCCCTCATCTGAGAGTAAATTTTTTTTTTTTAAAATTTCTCTCATCTGACTGCATCTTGACCTTGGAGCAGAGAATATGGTAACTACATTATCAGTAGTTTTATTCAGTGTGCTGATTTAGTGGTCATTCAAATCCTTTCCACTAATTTGTGCAAAGGAAGCACAATTCTGAAAACGTGTGTCTGAACAACATGCCTATTTATCTTCTAGCCTTTCAGGGGACTAATGATCTAAACACGGCCACTAATCTTCAGAGTTCCAGGGAAAAAGCAGTAGTTCAAGGCCCAATTAGATAGAGATGAGTGGAGTTCAGCTGACCCCAAAGATCTGAGATCTTGAGTCCTAGTGACTCTCCCTGGCTTTTTCTTCACTGCTCAGGCCAGAGTCTTCCTGTAGAATTCCTTCAGGGACATGTTAGGTGCTTGGCTACTACCTTGGACTGTTTTTATGGTTCTTGTTCTGTTTCTAATATCTGGTCCAATCAGGTAATCTCTCATTTGATGATGCTGGAGGCCTTACCCATCTCACATCTCAGAGGTCTGTGAGTGAATTCAAAGTAAGGTCTGTGCTTCTCTTTAAATAAATAATTTGGAACACATAATGTAAAGGTCCTTTCAAGATCCACATTCTCACTCTTGCCAAGGGCTTTCAGCTCTATGCTTGGGAGATGGAAAGCAATGTGGAAAATGTTGATAAAGATCTTTTATTAACTGTGAAACCAGGGGTGAATTATTTACTTTACAGGATCTTCAATTTATCTGTAACTAAAATCAGAGACAAAATACTCACTTATAAAATTGTAATGATCATCACTTGAAGGATAAAATTTGTGTAAGAGCCTTTGAAGTAAAAGAGACGTTCAGTACACAGTAGCTCATGTCACTATGCTACTCAAGATAATCAACCGAGAAAAAGGGCTATTGCATTTTAGTATTAATAGCAACTTCAAATTTCAAAACTGAATTTTTGTAAGTCATTGTTTTTTCAGTTTTCTTTTGAAGACAAGGAATAACATTGTTATGAATAGGTTACAGTAGGTGGGAATGGAATAGAAGTGGGAAGTGGGATGGTGAGAACGCTTTCTTATTTGCTAATCTCCTCATCTGACTACACCATGATGGACTGCTGTCATGCATCACAAACTTATGCTTTGTACCTTTCTCTTTCCATTAATCTCCTTTATGAAAAGATAACTTTGTTATTACTCTGTGTTCACACCTGAGTGGCCAAACATGGACGAAGAAAAACATGGGCTCACTTTATACTTAAACTCACTTTAGATTTATAACACAAACCTCAGACGTGACCTCAGGGCTAGTAAGCAATTCACTTAGGTCTCATGATTTAATATGTTCTACTCTCTTTGGTCATCTATTTCATGTTTTTTCCCATATCTGAAAACCTTGCTTACCTGCTCACTGATAACATAGGATTTTGTTTTACATATTCACCTGAAAAAAAATAGAAATGATTAGAACAGAGTTTTATCATCTTCCCTCCAACAAACTGTAGCTGAGCTATATCGGAATTCATGTTCTGCACTGTACTTTCTGTTAATATGATAGGCTATATCCCTTTTCCTAATTAAGATCAGAATTATCACTTGTGTACTGAAATCTACTTCTTGGCCTGGCTCAATCACTCACACCTGTAATCCTAGAACTTTGAGATGCCAAGGGGGTTACATCACCTGAGGTTAGGAGTTTAAGACCAGCCTGGCCAACACAATGAAACCCCATCTTTACTAAAAATACAAAAATTAACCAGGTGTGACGGTATGTGCCAGTAGTCCAAGCTACTCAGGAGGCTGGGGCAGGAGAATCGCTTGAACCCTGGAGGCAGAGGTTGTAGTTAGCTGAGATCCTGCTACGGCACTCCAGCCTGGGTGACAGAGTGAGCCTCTGTCTCAAAAAAAAAAAAAAAAAAAGAGAAAGAAATCTACTTCTTCTTATCTTCTCAAGGACTTTATTCTTATATCATAAATATTATACTTTCTCTAAAATAATTTCTATCAACGTAAACCTGCCATAATATAGTTTACCTTTAAAAAGCCTTTATGGATTTGATGTTTTCTGTTCTTCAGAAAGTAGTCCATATTCTACCTTCACCCTTTTCCTCCTGTTAACTCTAAACACACTCTAATCAGGAATGCCTTCCACTCCACACTGACTCCACTTACCAAAGTTACCAACAAGCCTCATGTAACACATCCAGTCATCAGTTCTCAGTCTTTAAATTATTTAACTTCACCACAGTGGATTATTCATCAGAATGGATTATTCCGGCTTTCATATATTTCCTGTTTTTGTTTTTTGTTGTTGTTGTTGTTTTTTTTTTTTTTTTTTTTTGCTTTCTGTTTTTTGGGTTTTTGTTTGTTTTGTTTTCAATGCCTTGTCTATTAGGCAAAAGATTCTAAGTTCATAAGGGGCATCATTTCATAGCCACTTTACATGTAAATTTCCATAAAGAAAGATCTTCCTCAAAAAAATTATTGATGTGGCTTTCTTTGTGGGTAAGCAGCGATATCCAATCTGTTTCCTGAAAAATAAACAACATTTAAGAGAGTTGGGCCAGGTGTTGTGGCTCACTGTAATCCCCGTACTTTGGGAGGCCAAGGTGGGTGGCTCATTTGAGGTCAGGAGTTTGAAATCAGCCTGGCCAATATAGTGAAACCCCGTTGCTACTAAAAATTAGCTGAGCGTGGTGGTTCACACCTGTAATCCCAGCTACTCAGGAGGCTGAGGTACAAGAATTGCTTGAACCTGGGAGGTGGAGGTTGCAGGGAGCAGAGATCATGCCACTACTCCAGCCTGGGGGACAGCACGACTTTGTCTTAAAAAAAAAAATTGAGAAAGCGCTGCTGAGAAAAACACCACCAGCTTTAATTTATTTGTTTATTTATTCATTTATTTTTTAGAGGGTTTCTTACTCTGTTGCTCAGTCTGGAGTGCAGTGATGCCATCTTGGCTCACTGCAATCTCCACCTCTTGGGCTTAAGTGATTCTCCTGCCCCAGCCTCCTGAGTAGCTGAGACTACAGGCATGAGCCACCATGCCCAGCTAATTTTTGTATTTTTAGTAAAGACAGGGTTTCACCATGTTGGCCAGGCTGGTCTTGAACTCCTGACCTCAAGTAATCTGCCTGCTTTGCCCTCCCAAAGTGCTGGGATTACAGGTGGGAGCCACTGCGCCTGGCCTATTAAATATTAACTTACGCAATCACAAGGTCCCACAATAGGCTGTCTGCAAGCTTGAGGGGCCAGGAGGGCCAGGCCAAGTCCCCAGATTGAAGAACTTGGAGTCCGATGTTCGAGGGCAGGAAGCACCCAGCATGGGAGAAAGATGTAGGCTGGAAGCCTACCCCAATCTTGTCTTTTGACGTTTTTCTGCCTGCTTTATATTCAGTGGAAGCTGATTAAATGATGCCTACCAGATTAAGGGCAGATTTGCCTTCCTCAGCCCACTGACTCAAAGGTTAATCTCTTTTGGCAACACCCACACAGACAGGCCCAGGATTCATATCCTGTATCCTTCAATCCAATCAAGTTGATGTTAGGTATTACCATCACAGGTCTATTTGGTCTATAGTGCAGATTAAGCCTGGTGTTTCTTTGCTGATTTTCTTTTCTGCAGATTATCTGTTCAAGGCTGAACATGGGATGTTAAAGTCTCCAGCTATTATTGCATTGGGGTAAATCTCTCTTTGGCTCTAATAATATTTGCTTTATATATCTGTATGCTCTGGTGTTGCATGTATATATATTTATAATTGTTATATCCTGTGGCTAAGTTGACCACTTTGTTATTATATAATAACCTTCTTTGTTTTTTTTAATAGTTTTTTGTTTTTACATCTGTTTTGTCTGATATAAGTATAGCTATTCCATCTCTTTCTTGATTTTTATTTGCATGGAATATCTTTTTTCCTTCTCTTTATATTCAATCTACATGTGTCTTTATAGGTGGAGAGTGTTTCTTGTAGGCAACAGATTATTATTCTTTAAATCCATTCAGCCATTCTACACCTTTTAAATGGATTCCATTTACATTCAATGTTATTATTGAAAATTAAGCACCCCCGCTATTTTGTTATTTTTCTTACTGTTTTGTGGCCTTTTCTTCCTTCATTCTTTTCTTCCTGTTTTCTTTTTAGTGAAGATGACTTTCTTGGTAGGTTTGTTCTAATGTCTTGCTTTTTATTTTCTGTGTATTTGTTGTATGTATTTTTATTTGAGTTTATCATGAGACTTGCAAATAATACCTTATAACTCATTATTTTAAAATGATGAAAACCTCGCACTGATTACATAAACAAACTAGCAAACACTCAAAGAGAAAACTAATAAAAACACTACACTGTAAAAATATAGACTGCTTCACATTACTGCATGTTATTCTTCCACAGGGGCCATGGTAATCATCTCTGTATGATTTTACTTTCATTATATGTGCTGCCAAAGTAAACATGTAACTATTTATGTAAATAAATTAAACTCTGCAATCAAAAGACATAGGGTGGCTGAATGGATTAAATAACAATATACAACAATATAATGCCTGCAAGAGACTCACTTTAGCCTCAAGGAAACACATATCCTGAAAGTGACGGGATGGCGTAAGATATTCCACACAAATGGCAACCAAAAGAGAGCCGTACTTGTATTAGACAAAACAGACCTTCACTCAAAACAGATGAAGGTCACTTTATAATGATAAAGAGGTCAATTCATCAAGAGCATATAACTATTGTAAACATGTGTGCATCCAACTTCAGGGCACCTAAATATATAAAGCAAATATTAATAGAACTTAAGGGAGAAGTTGATAGCAAAACAATATTAGAGGACTTCAGTACCCCACTGTCAACAATGGATAAATTATTCACTCAGAAAATCAGCAAGGAAACAATAGACTTGAATAACACAGTAGATCAAATTGACCTAACTGACAAATACAAAACATTACATCCAATAGCAGCAGAGCAAACATTCTTCTCAAGTTTACATGGAACATTCTCCAGGATAGATAATATGTTAGGCCACAAAACAAGTCTTAACAAATTTAAGAAGATTGAAATTATATCAAGTATCTTTTCCAACCGCAATGTTACGAAACTAAAAATCAATAACAGGAAGAACTTTGGAAAATTAAAACATATGTGGAAATTAAACATGCTCCTGAATAACCAAATTACTTCTTCTGGTCAGAAAAGAAATCAAAAGACAAATGAAAATGGACACACAACACATCAAAGCTTATGGAATGCAGCAATAAGATTTATTCCCTATGCGGGAGATTTACGGTGAAAACTGCCTGCATCAAAAAAAAGGAAGGAAGGGAGGGAGGGAAAAGAGGAAGAAAGGAAAGAAGGAAGGAAGGAAAACAGGAAGAAAGGAAGGAAGGAAAGAAGGAAAAGGAAAAGAAGGGAGGAAAGAAGGAAGGAAGGAAGAAGGCAGGAAGGTGGGAAGGAAGGAAGGGAGGGAGGGAGTCAGGGAAGGAGGGAAGAAAAGAAAGAAAGAGAAAGAAAGAAAGGAAAAAGAACCTTGCTTGACACTTCAAGAAACTAGAAAAATTGGGAAAATATAAATCTAAATTTGACAAGAAGAAGGAAGTAAAAATTAGAGCAGAAATAAATGAAACAGATTAGAAAAACAATTGAGTCTCCAGGAACACTTGGGCTGGTGGACAGTGAAGGTGTTAATTACAATTTTGATATAAAACAATTTTCCTAGCCCACCTTAGAGAAGACTTTGCCACACTAGTTGGAATGGTTCCAGTAGCCTACCTTGCAAGACACTTCGGATTCAAAGAATTTCCTTTGTAAACACAACAAGGGAGGTGTCACAGTTTTCCATTTAGATCGATAACTTTAAGTTCTTGCCATGGAAAATTCATAGAAGACAGAAGTGCTTCTTTTTGCTTGTGGTTCCTTTAATTCTATCACCAACATGCATCTCAGGTTGTTTGAGCTGGCAAGGATTATATGAATGGAATAGGAAGATATAGAGTTGTCAGAGGCATACTCTCCTGTTGGTGATGCATACGAGAAGAAAGGACTCATTGCTGCTCATCACCAGGTCATCATGGCAGAACCTGCCACCAAGAATTCCAAATGGGGTGGAATTGATACATAAGAAAGTCTTTAGAATGAGTGGATAGAGACTGTCAAGGTGCTAAGACACCATCGAGAAAAACTGAAGGCCAGTAACTATAATCCCCAGAAGAACTCACCTACACTAGAAAGGCCTGGATGGAAGAGGAAGTGGACTGCACAAAGGCAAGATTCTGGTCAAAAGAAATCCCCTAAAGCCAAAAAATGAAAGGTGCACCAAAGGTCCATTTGCTTTGTGGGGGTAGATTTATTGGAGTCCTTTGGCGTTCCTAATTTGTGGAAGAGTGAAGATATCATCCAAATTGTGGCAGATTATGGGCTCATATGTATTACTTGGTATGTATTACAACGGAAAATTCAGCTTCAACAGGAAATGAGGCTCAGAAATTTATCTATGAATCTGATGTTGTGGAAACACCAGAGAAACATTGAATGGGTGGATGACTAATGACATCTCATTCACAAAAATCTGGAGAGCCCTCAGAAGGGGCCAGAGCATTCACTAGTTGGCACCAGATCTTGTCCAATAATACATTTGTACAGCTCCGAGAGTGAAGTTAGGAAGGCTGGGGTCATCATGCTCCTTTGCAGAGAAACACTGCAGAAGCTAAGGCATAGGAATTCTACAGCATGATGTTTTGGAATTCCCTTTTGGGGATTTGAAGCAATCTGGGTATTAATAACCGGGGAAAGAAATTGCCATCCTGTTGCGTAAAACAAAGCTTAAAAGTTTAGTAAAAATCAGTAGTAAGTTAAAATCAGGAATTTTTTTTCTTTTTATTAGAAGTTGCCAAGATGAATGTTTTCTATAATTTTTTGTTTGTTTTTTTTTTTTTTAGAATGTACAAATCTCTTTATCATTAAAACAAGAGATTAGAAGCACACTAAGAACAGAAGAATTTTCAGTGAAACTAGCTATAAATAAGTAAAAAAGTACATCCTAAATGCTAACACATAAGAAGCAAAGCATGAAAAGCAAAAGTTCATTTAAAATTCTAACTTTGGTTGTGAAGGGAATTAACATTTTACAGCTGCCTGATGCTTGGTAGTCCGCAGCCAGGGTAGACAAATGAAGGAACTCTTACAGTGGTGATCTTGTAAAATGCACCATTGATAAAATATCCCCACTTATGCAAATAATGATTGTGAATTTGCATGGCAGACACATTGCACCAATAGTTAGCTTTCTGTGGTACACATCAGAATGGCCAACTAAACTTTGGCAAGACCTATCTACCTGGAGCTCCACCTTTGGATGTAGGGAGTGAGGTCCAAACCCTTGTATGTTTAGAGAGGTGTGCAGGCATTTCTGATGCCCACCAGAGGCAGAGAGCTGCTGCCTTATAGGTTGTACACATTCACTTAGCCTTGTTATGAATCATGTTAGAACGCTGGCCGTCTGCTACCTCTTTTCCTTCAGGAACAGCTTCAGAGACAATGTCATGCTGCCTTGAAATGAGAAAACCACAGAGAGCAAGGGGTCTCATTCAAGGAATTTATAAGTCTAAATGCTCTTAGCCTTTATTGATAGCTTAATCAAAAGATCTCAGTGGGGCACGGTGGCACACGCTCTGTAATCCCATCTACTTGGGATTATATCCTTATACTATTTCTTAATTTAGACAGAATTTTTATATGCTGTTAATTTAGAACTAGCCTTGTAAAAAAAAATTCTTCAAACCTTTCATACTACTTTATGCTTCCTGAAAAAAATATGGAATGCCTCACAAATTTGCGTGTCATCCTTATGCAGGGGTCATGCTAATTTTCTCTGTATCGTTCCAATTTTAGCATATGTGCTGCCGAAGCGAGCACAGAAATTGTCTATATTTTCTAACATTTCACCAAAAAATTGTGATGCAGCAAGTCCACAGACATTGTCCAGTTTGAAAATTTATTGAAATTATTAAAATTCTTTATAGTTCATTCCAACATAAATATAAAGTTAATCATTTTGAAAGCTAATTTTATATAAAACAAAAAATAGTGTCATTATTGCTTTCTTAATTTCAGCATGTGGGTATTGTGATATAGGTCTCCTTCATGATTTTCCAAATAGAATGTCATCACTCAAAATGTAGCAATACTAGTCACAATAGTAAAAAAAAAAAAAAAAAAAAAAAAAAAAAAAAACGCATTCCAACACCTTCTATACATAGATCAAGAATTTTTGTCCAGTGATATCTATCACCTTGTACCACAAATCTAAATTTGAGATAAATCCTCTTTTTTTTGCTTAGGTGGTTTTGCTTCATTTTTATTCCAAGTCTGAATTAGTCCGAACTGTTAATAATGAAAGAAAGAGTTGAAGAAATATAACTTGATTAGCCTAAACCCATTCCAGCTATGAAAAAGAGCTTGCAGTCAGCCTGTGAGCAATGGTGAGTAACATCATCATTACTAACAAAAAGTTGTCATTTTTAGGTATTCTAATCATTGGCTTCAAAGTCTAAAATATTAAAAAATAAAAGAATAAAACTGTTTTTTAAAAATATTTTAAACATTGGTGGCTTTTTTTTTTTTTTTTTTTTTTGAGATGGAGTCTCACTGTGTTTTCCAGGCTGGAGTGTAGTGGCATGATCTTGGCTCACCGTAACCTCTCCCTCCCAGGTTCAAGTGATTCTCCTGCTTCAGCCTCTGGAGTAGCTGGGATTACAAGCACCTGCCACCGCACCCAGCTAATCTTTTTGTAGTTGTTAGTAGAGACGAGGTTTCACCATCTTGGCAAGACTGGTCTTGAAATTCTGGGCCTACAGGCGTGAGCCACTGCACCCGGCCACACTGCTGGATTTCTAATGGCTCGAAGGTCAGTCATTTGCTTATGTAGGGTAAAAATGAGGATTAAATGTTATCTCTTTTAGAACCAGGAAACAGGATTATATTGGAACACAGGTTGTTGGAAATGAGGCATTTTTAATGTATCTGTTTAATTCCCTCATTCAACATATGTCTGTGTCCTGCAGTGGTAAATGATCAAGTAACATTGGTAGAAATGGAGCTATAGTTTGTCTTACAAATTCAAATCTCATGATTTTTCTGTTAAATAATATCTAGGCCAACTGGAAATCTACACAAGATTTCTAGTCATGGTTATTTTCTATGGGTTTCAGAGCAAGTACCAAAAATGTATAAATATTTAACATTTAATTTTCATTTCTTGAATGCTGAAGCATGTGAGCATCTTGGTCTATTATATTTAGTCAAGAATATCCTTCCACAATTTCTGCATTAAACGTTAATGAGTAGATGCCTTTGGAAATTTGGCATTTCTTCCTGAACTAGAATTAGAAAATGTTTTCTCCTAAAACAACTGGAAACAGCATGTGTTCTATTTATTGCTTCACATCATAGCCAGTGTTATAATTCCTTTCTGATTTTGTCTGAACAAGTTCAAATTAGCTACTACATGACTAATCCAGACAGCCTTTCATAATCAAAATTGGTTGGCAAATGGTAGGAACTTTGGCTAAAACTACATTTTCCTGTGCTGTTATTAATTGTCTAGCTTAGAGGAAACTGAGAGTTGTACAATTGCTCCTTTTCTAATGAAGTTTCCTAAAATAAAATGGTAGAGTATACTAGAAGTAGAATTTACTAGAACAAAAAAACACTCTCTGAGGATCAATTTCATCCTGTTTCTGTGAAAATAACTAGATTTTGGTCGTATTTTTCCACAATCTGTGAGATATCAATACTTTTGGAAAAAAAATAAAATAATGAGTTATTAGATTAAAAGATACTAAAAATTAAGCCCCATGTTTTAGTAAATTCAGCAGAAATAAAATTACTCTGTCAGAATGCTGTGAAAGGTTTTTAAATATTTGCTCTCACTTTCTGTACTCATTTAATCTCACATTAGTAACAAAAACTTTCAAAACTGGCATCATTCTGTGGGTAATATGTTGAATAGTAGTAATACAGTTAGTTTTTCTCATTTAATATATGGTGCCTCTGAGAATCCTGAGGACTAATGGCTCTCAAAATCATAGAGATAATCGCTGGCAGAAATAGGGCTTGATTTCATGACCTTCAATGCATAGGCCAAACTACTTTGTAGTAGAATGGGCGGCTTCAACTACTAACTCTTAATGAAGATGTAACAAGATCTTAGAAGGCTCAAATTCAGGCACCTGTGCAAGTCACTGCCGGAGTTCAAATTGTTTTTCACTAAAACATGTAGGTGTTGGGTTCCTGGATGCTTCTCTCAGAAACTTGTGACAGATAAAAAAATTACTTTGAGTATTTTGAATATAAATTTCATACTTCTATTTAAAAATTAGAAGCATTGGCTGGGCACAGTGGCTCACGCCTATAACCCCAGCACTTTGGTGGGAGGCTGAGGTGGGCGGATCAACTGAGGTTGGGAGTTCAACACCAGCCTGACCAACTCGGAGAAACCCTGTCTCTACTGAAAATACAAAATTAGCCAGGCGTGATGGCACATGCCTGTAATCCCAGCTACTTGGGAGGCTGAGGCAGGAGAATCACTTGAACCTGGGAGGTGGACGTTGCAGTGAGCTGAGATCATGCCATTGCATTCCATCCTGGGTAACAGGAGCAAAACTCTATCTCAAAACAAACAAACAAATAAATAAATTAGAAGCATTACGTTTGTTAAATAATTACCTTGGATGGCTGTATAATCATTTTAAAATTTGATTTTACTTGGGGATTCAAAGCACAGCAAGTCCATGTGATTTACACATTTTTTTTTTTCTTTCTTTCTTTTTTTTTGAGATGGAGTCTCTGTTGCCCAGGCTGCAGTACAGTGGCACAATCTTGGCTCACTGCCATCTCTGCCTCATGGGTTCAAGAGATTTTTCTGCTTCAGCCTAGAACACACCATCATCATGCCCGGCTGATTTTTGTATTTTTTGTAGAGACAGGGTTTTGCCATGTTGGCCAGGCTGGTCTTGGAACTCCTGACCTCAGGTGATCCACCCACCTTGGCCACCTAAAGTGCTAGGATTATAGGCATGAGCAACTGTGCCCATCACTTTCTCTTAAAGAAAATTTCTGGATACAGACTGATATTCAAACTGACAGCATTAGTTTTGCCTTTCTAATTAAATCTTCCCTGGGAAACAGACTAAACTGACATTGTTGATTTTTATAAATGTCATTAAATACTCAGAAGATTTTTGAAAAATGAAACAGCTCCACAGATAAGTCTGCATGCTGAAAATCTCTAAATTCTTAGATTACCCAGTCAAACTCTAGTTCTCATCTTGATCTCCATGTTACTGATTGTTAAATTAGAAGAATTAAGTTAATAATATTGTATACATTCCAACGTATACTCATAAAAGCACACATACTGTATTTAGTCAGTTTCTAACTTAGCAATATGTTGATATATTAATGATCTAAATGTTAGTTTTTGAGTAGTATATTTCTAAATTACCTTGTAATTTTCCATAGGAAAAAAATTCTATAAATAATTTCAAAGTACCCATGCTATTAAATAGATATATTTTATATATAAGATACCTGAATTGTAATACATAGAGCATGACAGCAACTTAGCAGCATGCTTAGCATTGTGTTAATTTTTACGATGTGCACAGAACTCCAGGAAAGCAACAATAAGCCTAACTCATTGTTAATTGAACCAAGGACTGCCTCATCCCAATGGCCAATACCTTTCTGTTAAACTAGAATGAATTCTCTTTTAGTTCTATAGCAATGACAACTCTTATCACTTTGAAGACTGTAGAGAGCAAATAGATGGACATCTTAGTTAGGCATGCTAGGCCTTGAACCAATTAGTTGTAGTCATTTAGTAATTATTCAAAGGCCTGTTAATCCCAAAGTCTGTGCTCCTGTCACTAGAAACACCAGAAAAACAATTTTTTATAGTTGAGTTGATAAGGAATAATTTCAAATCATTTATCTTTTTTCAGTAATTTCGAATACACAGTAGTCAATAAGAAGTATGGTAAATAGTGGCCCATTGAGAAACGTCAAGACAGTGGACACTAAGAACCTGATCAAGAGTTTAAAGAAATCAAAAAATGTAGAATCAAAAACTTCCATAAAAAATCTTAGTTGATTAGCCTATTTCGTTGATTTTGCAAGGGCTATTTTTATTGATGTCTCTCCAGCAATATAAGAAAGGGTTTATAGAATGGCATCAACTTTTCAGCTGACCAATGCAGATTTACCATAGAGCTAATGAAAGTCAGTTTCTACAGACTCTTCTTAAGGCCTGGGAGGATTTCTTCTGCAACCATGTGGTCTTATGTTACTATCAAGTTTACAAAATATTCATATCATTTCAACACCCTTTTGTTACTCTTCTATTAATGAGGTGTGCCCTTGGAGTGGCCGTAGGGAAAACAAGTCGGGAACACACTTAGTTTGTGTTCGCTGCAATATGTTTATGTGGCTTGCATTTACCGAAGATAAAACTATTTGAGTGCTATACACCAGTAGCAATGAGCATGCAGATCTAGCACACAGAAATGTGTCTCCACTACCATCTCCACTAACAGGAATCAGGGCTTTCTGGACTTATGGATGGTACCAGGGTTGAGGCAGATATAAAGTAAGCATGCAGAACAACTTGTTCAACAAGAACATAAACATGTACAGAGACTCAGGAGCCAGCTTAAAGGGGCTCCCAATGGCCACGCATGAGACAATTTGGTGACTGAAAATTAAATACAGTAATGTATTATAAATCATTGAATGAATAGAAATTTATGAATCCACATGGTAATGAATAAACTAGCAAGTAACTGGAGGAAAAAAAGCACATACAATAATAACGCAAATGAATTAAAATGTTAGCTATAGGTAAATCTGGGTAAGGG